GACAGGACAAGGGGGAATGGCTTTAAACTAAAGGGGGGTAGATTGAGCCGAGATAGAAGGAAGACATTTTTTATGCTGAGGGTGGTGAAACACTGGCACAGGTTGCCCAGGGAGGTGGTGGATGCCCCATCCCTGGAAACATTCCAGGTCAGGCTGGACGGGGCTCTGAGCAACCAGATCTAGTTGAAGATGTCCCTGCCCACGGCAGGGGAGTTGGACTAGATGACCTTTAAAGGTCCCTTCCAACCCAAACTATTCTATGATTCTATGAAAATAGTACTTAAATACTTAATACTAAAAAGTCTCACCAATCTTCTGTGGCCGTGTTGTTAGCTACCTTTCAGTAGGGATATGGATGCAAAATGATGCAGAAGAGTTACAAGAGGGATGTAAACACCACAAAATTTCATATGTCATGTCCACAGCTTGTGAATATCACTGAAGATGAAGCACTGTAAAGACCTTCTCCATATAAAAGGTTTCCCCTTCCTCCCCTCCTGTTGTACATGGCATCCTGCTGGTTTTTTTGTTTCTTGGAGAACTTAGAGGAGTTTACAATGTCACATCCTGGCTGCAGGCTGATAGCAGAGCCAGGGTTGTTCTTGCCCTCATGACTCAGTCCTGTTTGTTCAATTAAACAATCATGAAAACTTTTAGTTGGGTGATTCCTGCTGACTTTATGGATCACTCAGCTAAAAATACCTTTTGTACTTTGAAAACTTCCTTTTTTTTCTGTATCCAAATAAACTCTAAAGTTCTTCATTCCTGTAGCAGGCTGAGTACATTTCAGATTTTGAAAACTCTAGCTTTAAATAACTGAAACCACCTACCTTGAAACCTTCCTCATGCAGTAGTTCTGCTACACTGAGGAATCTGGGGCGGAATGACTTCTGAAAAAGGAAATTTATTAGATACAGCATCGATGCTAGGATTTAGAAACAGTGTTTTGTTGGGCAACACGGGGCTCCTCCAGACTGTGCTAAGAGGCAAATACACCTTTCTGTGCTGAGAGTGTGTTTGTGTGTGTGGGCAGACATGTCTGAATGTGCACGTACAGTGCCATTCCAAGAAAACTGTCTGGATCCTGAAGCGCAAGTCACTCCTGGTGAAGACACATTTTGTTACCCCACCAGGGTAAGTGTTCGCATACTAAGTTTGACTGCACCTACAGATTATTTACTACTGCATATTAAACATCTGGGCAGTTGCCTTCTCAAATACACCAACTAGTGTCTCCCCTGCTCTTAATTAAACATCTTTTCAATCATTGCTCAAACATTTGGCCTTCTCTTCTGGCAAATAACAAATATGGACAGGCTTTGGGCTGCCTTTGGATGCTCTGCAAATTCACATGAAGAAAAGCCTGTGTATGTGTGAGTTCATTTCTAACTCCCATGGGCATATGGAAATGGAGAACACAAAAGCCCTTCAGGAGACTGGGACACCCTATTCCCATGAGGACCTGAATGCCCAGGTACTTAGGGCACCTTTGAAAGACTCTCTCATAAAGCACACATAGATCCAACATAATTTAGAAGAAATAAAGATAGGATGACCTCCTCTAGACATCTGCACTTGAACAAGCCATTTTAGAGCAACAGGTAAGTGAAAGTTTGATCCCAGCATAACTTTCTTCTGGATGGTACAGCAATGCAAAGATCAGATGCAACACATGCCCTTCTCACTGCGCCAAGGCAGGCCAAACCTCACTTTTAACCTTACCCTGGTCTGTCCATTTGCAAGTAAGATTATTGCAAGCTCCCCTCTCCCTGCTGGAGCTACTGATGGCTTAACTTTTATGGGTGAGAGCGCAATATTCTGAAGGGTGAATGATTTCCTGTGAAGAAAAAGAGTCAACAGGTTTGTTTTTTTCTGAGCACTCTGAAAAGAACCTCATTCTGAAAGCCATCTCATTCTGTACACTAACAGGAAATATAAATATACAATGTGACAGGGTTGGCAGCTTCCCAGTCAGAGAGAACGGTTCTGCCTTCTGGACAGGGGGGTTGGCTTTCACAACAGTATTACAAACTTCTATCAAACATGTACTGAACACTTGTGACACATAAAACAGCCTCTCCATGAAAAGAAATTACAGCTGTCAGCTTGCATTGGAGCAGCCTCAGATTTACAAGCTGGCTGAAAGAACCTCTGTAAGAAACCATTAGTTACTTAAGGTGAAAAGTACAAGCAGATTTATTTAGTGGAAGATATTTATTGTAGGAGAATTGTATTCTTTTTCCTTTATTGGAAAAGTTCTATTTCTTACAACCTCTCTCTCATGTTTGCTAGCATGCCTTGCTATTTGTAAAGGGCTACAATCCTCAGTTAATTCAATACAGCTACACCACTTCTCACTAAGATCCATCTCAAAATGGAGCCAGCTCATCTCCTGTGATAATCTTGAATTCTGTATCCAAATCCACTGTAGAGCATGCAAAAATTCTGGTACGTAAGGAACCAAGGCAGAAACAACAGACTTGGAGTGCTGGGATTTAAAAATAAAATAGTCCTTCAATGCTTTCTGCATCTCGTGGTCACCAGCACAGATGTAAGACAGATGCACTCCATCCCAGAGATATCACTGAATAGCCCAATCAGGAAAGAAAATAAAATGAGCTTTTCGACTCTTCTTGCATAAAATATAAATTATTTAATGGCAGACTCAGGGTTTCAGCATCATAGATTTCTCTGAATTGTGAAAAGAAAAGAGGTCAGATTATCAGCCTGTATAAACTGGCAGAGATTCATTTGTCTAACAAGAAAGCCATACTCCGTTTACCCTGGGAGAGCATCAGGCCTTTAAAATCCTGGGGAACCTCAACCTGTGCAATGTCAGAGAGTGCTCACAACTGAAGGACAATCCAGCGGGCTCGTGGTCCTGGCTGGCTGCCCAACCTGCCTTGTGCTGTCCTGCAGATGTCAAGGAGTGCTTGCCTGTTTGACCTTGAGGATGATCACTTTGTTAGCAACATTTCTGTGAGGCCCTAGTAGGATTACTGCTGGAACTGCAACCTAAGTACACCAACATGGAAGTCCCTCTGCAAGGCTGGGTTCATTACCTGGGCATATTGGGACCTGTTTGGACTGCAGCTTGCAGCACAGCCATTTGACTCCTGATTTGCAAAATACCCCTGAGTGAAAAATTTGCAAGGAAACTAAGATCTCCCTCTCTACTATTGTTAACTACATCTATTTGACTTTCAGCCTCAAGAAGGCAGCCTCCTCTCACCACAACATAATTAATAGCAATGACATAAAGGTGCAGTATACCAAATAACCTAAATATGTTGAGCCTAGACACTTTTCAGGGAAGCAGAACTTGCCACCATTTAGCTTCTTATTTCTCTTTTTGCAAGACCCAAAAGTCCAGTCTAAAAGTCAGAGCAAGTGGCTAATCACGAAGCAATGAAGCCTCCGAAAGCTGGGTATGTTTTGAGTTCACCATCCACCGCAGATGAAACATAGCACCTTCCTTAGAGACAACCAAGTGGGCTGGTGTACGTGCTCCTGACAAGAATCAGCCCCGAGTGCACCAGAACAGCCTGCAGAAACCATCCCGCAGTTTGAAAGCCAGGGGCCTCTGCCCAGGGAGGGGCCTCCACCCCCTCACAGCAATGACATTTAAACATTAGGTGATCATGGAGAGAGGTGACCTGGTATCTGTCCTTCTGAGCCTGTTATTTCCCCTCTGAGAATACACTGACAACTTTGCCAGTTTGAGGTACATGACCTCATGTTTGGGATTAAAATGAGAACAATACTGCTCGTGTTCACAGCCCACCTTGTGCCTCGATCCTTGTGCCTCTTGTTTCTGCAGTGAAGGGCTCCCCTTTCCTCCAGCCTGTAATACTCAGGAAAGAGCACTTGGTCTACACATCACATCTAAGTCAGGATTTCAGCCTTCCCTTCTTACAAGGCTTTATTTCCCCTCTCTGCCTGCAGACCTGGCAGATTTCGAAATAGACCATTGAAAAGTAGGTAGGTGACAAAATCCAAGAGTGGAGAGGGAGCAATACGTGGTTCTCAGCATTAACTTTACACTTCTTGTTTTGGAGTTTAATTATATAAGAAATATGCTGAGATGAAGAGAGACCTTTAAGCGATTGATCTGTTGTTTTCAGGTTTCTTTTGCAAGAAAATGAACCGTAAACCACTCATTAAAAAGGACAGAATCTTGTTACTTTTAAAACGTTCGGGGGGTTGAGCTTTTGTGGTTGTTTTATCTTTTTTTTTCCCCCTTCTTTTTTTTTCCTAAGACCTTTGCACAAAGAACATTTGGCTCAGTTTAACAGATACTGACACAGAACGTACATAAATGCTTTCTATAGCTAAAATTGCTCTTTGCTGCCTGTTCCCTTTTAGCTGCTATCGGGAAAATAGGCTTAAATTTTAAACACTGGGCTCTCTCCGTTTTTTTTCTCCTGGCTTTTCTTTTCCCCTTTTTTAAATGCTGTTTTAAAATCTGCAGTGATTAGATATACAGTAGACATACAGTACCAACTGCCCAGAGTTTCATACTGAAGTTTTAAACTTCATCTAGGTAGCAAGTAAAGACTTTTCTGCTAATTTGAGGTAACTTAGAGCAACAGCTTCAATCCATAGATGTGTGTATATATGTGTATATTTAAGGACTAAGCGGTAATCTGTATTAGCAGAAGTCATATTCCTTTCTGGCCACTTTTCACACACTTCCTTCACATCCTCTGCTGGCACAGACAGCCTAACACGTTTTTCACACCCAAGTTGTCTAACAGGAAAATTCATCTATTCTATTTTTTTTGTTTTATTGGAGGTTTAGATTGGATATAAGGAAAAATTTCTTTACTGAAAGAGTGGTGAAACATTGGAACAGGCTGCCCAGGGGAGTGGGGGAGTCCCCATCCCTGGAGGTATTTAAAAGGCGAGTAGATGAGGCGCTTAGGGACATGGTTCAGTGGGCATGGTGGTGTTGGGTTGACGGGTGGGATCGATGATTTTAGAGGGCTTTTCCAACCTCAATGATTCTATGATTCTATGATTCTATGATTCTATGATTCTATGATTCTATGATTCTATGTAGGGCATAAGCTTATTACAAGCATGGCGGGGAAATGGCAGGAGGCAATCAGTTATCTTTATGGGGCCCAAGAATGTTCTCGTTGCAGTGGAAGTGTATGAATTTTTTTGAGGAACATACACACATCTCAAAGTTTACAAGTATATCTGACTTCAGCACCTCCTGCAGTTGGTAACTATCCTGTGATAAAGAACCAACACTGTTTGCTCTTTTGCCTAGATACCTTTTCATCCTGAAACGCACATCCTCCTTACTGATACAGAACTGTGAATGGTGCAGGGCTGTTCCTAAGGCAAACCTATTGGGAACTCCCTCACGTAAAGGCTGTTTGCAGAAGCCATTGCCCTGGAGAACATTCCCATAATGATACCATTTAAACTTTCTGTCACAGACAGTAACTTTGAGGGATGCTGACAGCAAGAGATGAAATCCTAAAGTTCAAGTTCTAGTCTGGTATGGAATCACTGGACCTGTAGAATGTGTGTCTGAGAGGCAGTCCCTAAGAGGAGAGAGCTCTGGCAAGATACAGAAACCAGAAACATTCCTACATAAATGTAGCATTGGTTCTTCCTTTCTGAGCTACTTACTCCTAGCTGATAGGAACTGCATGGTAGGGAACAATACTGGCCATGTGCCATCATCAAACAGGGAAAGGAATAATAGCAGCCATGCCTCTAGGCAGCCAGGAAAGCAGGTTACAGGGTGAAGACTGTTGTCCTTTAATCCCTCACCCCACTGTACTAAAGTATATTCCCATCGTGACTCCAATGAGGAGAGGAATGTTGCGGTGCCAATGAGACCACCGGAGGTCTCATTGCCTGAGTGTTACACCAACAACTAGCCCCACAACACCCTAACAACATCATGTTTACTACATTGTCAGATGACGCTACAGCTCTGCCTGGAATGAAATCTATGCATCCATGGGGAAAGCTTAGCAGGTCCAGCTTTGCAGTATGGAAACTGTCTCACTGGTTTTTTTGGGGGGGAAGGGGAGGGGAACTGGTTTCAAAAGGGCAAGAGGCAATGTACAGATGAAGGGAGTTTACATGTCAGGATTGGAAAGTAGCATCCCCAGGGCTCCCATTTGGGTGGGAGCAAGGAGCAGGCTCTGAGTTCTAGCTGGGACGTTTCTCTGAACTGATCATCTATGGCCTTTGTTTCCCGCAGGAAGGTGGCTTCTAACTCTCTGATCCCAGGCTGCTGCTTGCAGCAATCCTGGGGGTTTGCCCCCAGCAAAATTCTGCAGCTCCCAGCAGAAACTCTCAGAAGCCAGACGGGGAAAAAAACAGGCCAGCCCCACGGAATCCAGTAAAGATCTCTCCATGGCGTTTGTTCCTCACCGTCTTAGTGCACTTCAAGATGGATTGCAGAGAAACACATTTAAGCCATAAAGACACATGAATAAAAACAAGGCAACAGTTACTGAGTTCCTCTGTGTCAGTCCTTTCTCAGCTTTGATTTTTAGGACTCACCTGGATTCCAATCAAAATTCCTTCCTTAGGAAACGTAAACCCTGTGGCAAGCATAGCTTTCTGGAAGGCAGAGTACACATCCTCCCCGAAGCATGCGACCTGGGAAAAGGCACAAAGAAGGTGGCATGAGGGGAAAAAACAAAAACAACCCAAAACCATTGCTTTAAAAAGAAACAGGAATGAAATTTTTAAATAGGCTCTTTTGACTTCTTCACGCAGAATCAGACTGCTTTTGCATCGAGTCTGCAGGCGGGGGGGGTGGATCAGAAAATCATTGCAGACAAGTCTCATAATTTTAATGAAGCAATAACGAAAGAATAAGCAACGTTTCAGTTTCAAACAGCACACCAAGGAGTAACAACAATTGATTCTGCTGAGTTATGGGAATGCTGTACATAGCCTCTGCTCCAGTGTTTGTGAGTGTACTGCAAATTGTTTAACGTTATATAATGCTTAAATACCAGTGAGTGTTCTGCATGCAGGCATGTTTCTCTGTGTGTACACTGCAAACTGGGTTAAGACAGTGTTTGTGCTGTTGTGTACTTCTGGCATTTCTTGTGAAGATAAACCACGGTATATAAAGATGCTTCTCCATTAAAAGCCCACAGACGTATGAAATTCAAGTAAAATGTTAGTATGTACTTAGAAAAATAACAAAGCAATCATGCCAATTCATAATAATTATTTTATATAAACAAAAACTTGATAAAGAAATCGATAAAAATCATTTAGGAGACTCCATCATTCAGAACTGCCTGTGGAGCTCAGTTGCTTACAGGTTGTCATACAGTAATGATCTTCTGTAGAACTAAACTGTGTTCCTTATCAAAATTTGGAATTCTGATGACAAAAAGAAGAATCCATGACCTTTTGTGAAAGTTAAAAAAGAAAAAAAAAAAAACCTCACCTTTTCTGGACAACTCCACACCTGTTGAAAAACAGTCAGAAGCAGAAACTGTCACAGATTTTTCTCTTTGAAATAACAAATCTACACACACATACAGATGGGATAAAGGTGCTGATTGAGAATTGCTCTCCCATTTTCCTCTTATAGTCCTTCCCATCACAGAGTGAGCCCTTACATTCATGGTCTCACTGTTACCATGGTGAGCAAAAACCAGTATTTCATGTAAGAAGAAGAACAAATGATGATTTGCCAGATCTTCTGAAGTAAAAAAAGAACAACCAAACAAACAAAAATCCCGCAAGGGAAGAGACAAAATCTCAGCTTTTCTCTAAAAACTCATCCTTGAGTGTTCAGTCTGTTCTACAGCGTATCTGGCTGAGGGGTTACGTATGTCCTGGACTTTCTAGGGTGGTGGACAGTCCCCTGCCTTGGAGGCTCGGACTAGGGGTTTCCAGCCTGCTGGGAGAGGTTTATCATTATGGCATGGTCAAAACACCCACAACACTCAAAGGGACTCCCAGCACTGTGTCTTCTACTGTTGTGGGAACCACTACTCCCAGCAAAATACATCTCTGCCAGATAGATCTGACAAATTCAAGCCCAAATCAAGCTGTGTGTGTGAAAAATGTCTTTGAGGAATAATTGAGCATTTTACCCGAAGCAAGTTATTATCCTTACTTCACTCATAAGAAAGACCTTCATAACTGTCACATTTTATGGCATTTGTGAATATGGATCTTTCCAACTCATAAAAGTTAATAATCCCTCCCTTATGACCAAGGTAATCTCCAACTCCATATAAAGTTCAGAAAAATAATTCTTGCCCTTAGTTACAATTTTATTCCTTTTTTTTTTGGGGGGAGGGGGTGTCTATGTAGTCAATTTTGTTCTGAAAATAAGGAAGTCATGGAAGTCACTTGGCTTTTTTCTGCCCATTAACTACATTGAAATGAAATCTTCTGCAATACTGTTTTCCACACATTATAAAGAGCAAAATAAAGTAATTCTGGAGAGATGTAGGAGACCTAAGGCTGTTCTTGCCATGTATCTGGGTATAGTGCTTTTTCATACTAAAATGATAAGTCTTTCCTAATGAAAACAGCTCATGTAGACATGAGACATACCCAAGCGCATATCAAATGAAGCAGCCCAGGCTCTGCCACCTGCCTAGCTACGGTAGAGCAGAGTTAAGCCTAATCTAATTGCCTCAGTATTTAATCACTTCCCAAGTGGGCCTTCTAGCCCAGAATAAGTCTCTTGCCACCACAACTCTTTTCTAGAAGTAACAGAGCAAGCAAGTTTAAAGATAGCTTGGGTATATCTACAGAAGCTATTGACAGCTCAGCAATAGCTCATAAACACACCTCTGTTCTAGCTGAGTTAGTATCTCTTCAAATGATGTAGATGGAAACGTGTACCCCTTGAGATGCGAGGGCTCCCATCAGTGCTGAGCCTATGCAGGAAGAGGAACAGCTTTGTGCCTTTACGATGTGCCATGCGTACACCAGAAACACATTTTGGAAGTACCTCACAGCCCTGCTGTAGAAAGAGTGGGTAAAGTAGCCCGGTCTCCCCCTCACCCTACCAACAGTCAGTACTGCAGCCATCACATTTTATTCATTCTCTCTCACCTTTTGCACCGTGGGACATGCCTTGATGGTTACCAGGCAACAACAAAAATATCACCACACATCTTTGTTGCCTTTAAGTAACTAGCATGTTCCAAGACCAAACACTCATGACCTGGAGTCTTGATATTGCTATTCTGGCATGTGTCGATGGGGGGTTTTGAAAGCTGTAAGCGCTTGTCTGTCTAGAAGCAGGTGATTCATAAAACGGACTGACACACCGAGAACCTCCCAGAACCTGACAGCTCTCAGATAAACTCATTTCAGGCTGCCACACCAACCAGGTCCAATTCAGGGAGCTGACATGCAGGTAAAGAGGGACATCCAGTGGCTGAATAAACTGGCTTTTCCAGGACAATGTGTTTTTACAGATAAGAAAGATGTTTTCAATTTTCTGAAGAGGCTACAGATGCCGTCATGATTCAGGCAGTAATAAGATCACTTTCAAAGATTCATGATGTTTAAAGGTGACTTGGTTTTTTTTAAAAAAAAAAAAAAAAAAGCAAATCTAAAAGATACCTCCCCAGTAGAGGCCATTTCACATCGGAGAACAGGGTCAGCATCTCTCAGCCGGGACCAGGAGAACATTGGGGCCTGGTGAAAGAAAGAGGGTGGGAGGGAGAAAGAGAATCAAAATTTAATGGATCATTAAAAAAAAAAAAAAAAAATCCAGCTACACTTGGAAGTGACAGAAAGAGACAGACATGAATTAATCCAAAAAAAGCACTGGTCAAGGCTGATGAGCAAAGGAATACTTGGCAAATGCGTTCCCCCAGCATCTTATGACAGACTGGAACAAATAAACACATATTTCACCAATAAATCATCCTTCTAACTCTTGCAGTTCTGCTCACATTCTGATGGCAAATTTCTAATCTGTGGTAGCCCACTACCACTATCGTTTTTAAGACATATTTTAAAACAGAAAGGCTGTGAAGCATCTAATTCATGAAACAAGGAGAGACTACCTGAAGCCAGTTGTTTTTTCTGAGAAAACTGTTCTCCAACAGAAATTTTTCATTTGCAGGAATCAAACCATTTCACAAGAACACACTCTTCTGGTGTAAACCAGATGAAACTTTGCTAATAATTTTCAGATTTTCCCTTTCCTCTCCAAATACACACCCCTAATTTTTTTTAATCTTTTTTATGAAAAACCCTGATCATCATCATTATATGAGAACTTAGGACACTGTGGTCTCTGAGTTCTCTTGTCTAATTTGACCTTTTAAAAAAAAAAAAAAGAAAAAAGAAAAAGGGGGAGAGAAAGAAACTCTCTGCTAGAGAGTCAATGACCACAGGTGGAAAACGTGGAACAAATCAAAAATTTTCTCCTAAGGAATAATTTTCTATAGGGCTTCTCTCCATCTTAAACTACTAGTGGCATTTGCATAAAGACAGTGTCCTTGCTGCTTAAAAAAGAATCTATTTTTAAATCCAAAGACATAATTCTCTTCTTGGAAGTCTCTGAGGGTAACGCTGCAGACAAGACAGCTGCTGTTTCACGACACCTAACAGTGACCAACTAAAATCTGACAGCAGAAATTCGTTGCAAAAGGTTTCTCAATAAATGTCGTGTGTCTTGGTGACTTTTCGATCAGTTTTGCTTCTTCCGTAAATAAAGAGAAAATTTTTACAGTGGCCAACTCCACAGTCCCAAGCTGAGATATGGCATTCAAGGTGAATTATTTTTAATGCACATATTGTCTTGAAAGGTAACAAAAGCCATCCACCAGCTCCCTAACTTTTGTCTTCAATGAACATGAAAATGCATCAGCAGGAGCAGGCTCTAGTACTGCAAATAAATCCTATTTAAAACTTAGTCAGCCATGCTCTACCCAGGATTTAATCTTAGTCAGGCCATGATACTTGCGTCACTCCGCAAGCAAACATGGCAGACAGTATTTCAGTCACTAAAGCTAAAACGGCGGGACTCCGAATCCACAAAGGAGCAGCTACATTGAGAAAGAAGAAAAAAGAGTTTCATATTCTCTTTTCAGAGCATTTAAGAACTGCTGGAGAAACAAAATCCCATTTTCATGCAAATATTCCTAGCACTAAAAATGTAAGAGGACAGAAAATATGACGCATGAATAACGAGAACCAGGTTTAACTGGAATATTTTCCAAAGTTTAGCATTTCCAAAGGTATTAGCAGGGTTTTATATTTGACAAATCCACACAGAACACTAGTAGTATAAAAGGCTTTGTAGTGAAGTTTTGAAGAATATAGCTGGGCTTTCCACTCTGTAGCCAACATTCCCAGGAGAGATGAAACTCTTGACAGTTTAGCTAACAACAGTGCAAAAGCCCCAGGTCTAAATAATAGAAATTTATAAAAATAAGTAAGACTCCCAAAAATAAAAAAGTCTCAGATTAGAATTTCAGATAATACCTATCTGTGGCATCAAAATAAAACGTAAAGCTACTTCAACCTCAATGATTCTATGATTCTATGATTCTATGATTCTAGACTGACTGTCTTGCCAATGACCTGAGCTGGCTTGGGCCACAGATTTGGCTTGCATTTTAATAAGTCTGAACATTTTATTAGTAGAAAGATGTTAGGTGTTTTCCGTTTCCTCAATTTTCACTTGATATGGAAGCTATTAAAGCTTGAAAGTTTCTGTATAAACAATTCTCATTATCCATTGTATTTTCTGCACTGCTGTTCTAGATTTTTATGATTAGGAACTCCAATTAATTTTTTTTCTTCCACTAAGCATTCAAAAATATCTACAGTATACTTCAGTATCTTGGGTGCTATATAAGCTTAGTAATTATGAAAAGTAAAATCTCGGCCCCACTGAAATCCAAGGATCCAAGACTTTCACCCCCATTTTAACTGGTGGTGCATATAAAGAGATTCCACGCATTCCACAGCCCATGTCCCAAATCCTGAAGATAAAATCTGGGGGGCACTCAAAACACAAATTTGTACATGTCCACATATAGATAGTATTATGAAATAGCCTGAACTTCAGTGTTCAGTTCTGCAAGTGCATATTTATTATGCAGTTCATAAACATGATTCAGAGTAGATTAGAAGTAAGAAATAAAGGGAGATTGATTTTGTTAATAATCACTGGATAATTTTCCTTTGATTTTTCTCTAAAATTCCCAACTTACATTACCTTAACAGAAACTGCAAAAGGTCAGTTTGGCCTTTGGCCAATGTGTAAATTGTCCTCTCTGGGCATTAAAGTACTAATTGCCTATTAATGTGCTAGGTGCTAGCTCTGTTGTGGGTTTTTTGGTGTTCTTTTAGAAACCATACCTTAATCCCAACGTATTTGGAGGGAATAATGGGATGCTCCAGTGTGGGGAGGGATGACTCATTAACGTCTTTTCCAGTCATCACTTTTGTGGCCACATCGATGAAGTCCACACCCAGAGTCTTCGATACAAAAGGGAAGGAGCGTGAAGCCCGCAAGTTGCACTCTATCACCTGATGGGATTAAAAAGGAGAAATACCAGGGTCAGGCACTGTGCATTGAAGAAATAGATTGATTCATGTTTCTGGAAAACAGTCCTTACTCCTATTGGCAGAGATGCTCTTCAGACTGCCAAATAAGAGGCACAGAAATTGTGTTCAATATTACAAACAGCAATGAGGGATGGGTAGTGGCCAGCCTGAGATACAAGGAGTCCGGTGTTCTGCAACTGAGTTTCATCTCTATTGTCTAAGATTAGAACTTCGGAAAACATGTTGTACTATACCCTAAGTTAATGTGCAAGAGCCGTGGAAACTTGAGCACAGGCATTAGGTACAACCTTTAGAAGTCCTCCTTGTTCTTTTTCCATGGTAATGGCACTTCGTGAATGGCTGGGCTATCCTTATCAACTTTCCTCATCTACATGCGGAAGTCATTCAGTGACCCAAGCAAGAAACAAAGAAGTTCTGCATCCTGCTGAGAAGCGCATCATGGAGATCAATAGCAAAACAAGAATTGCTGTAAGAGAGAATGAAGTGGGAGTGAAGGGGGACAAGAATAGGTAAGTTAAGACAGAATGGAAAAGAAGGGTTATCCAGAGAAAAGGCAAGCACAGCTGAGGGAAAGCAAGGAAGGGAAAACTCCCTTCTGTCCCTCTGTGGAGTTTCTGAATAAGTGTGTGTGAAACAGACGAAAGGTGAAGAACAGTTAAGTAGATTTTTCCCAACTAATAGCCCAAACGGGATCTTTCACCAATAATGCATCTCTTCTACACCACGTCAGGTTCTTTCCATTCACCATTTCCCTCAGTCATACTCTGCTTACATTCCTCTGACCTTCTTCCATTAGCAACAGAAAGCCTACTGTTACCCATAAAGGGTCAGACATCTGCTGTACTTCCATTACTGATAGCTACTAGACAACCATCTTAATGGCTTATATTAAAGACTTAAACATTTAAATTGTCTTCCTTTCTTTCCAATGGCTTGGGAGGCTTATTTTAATGATCAAAACAGCTAAAGATGAGAGAGGATATCAGAGATCTTCAGTTCATAGGCTGAGGTGCAGGTCCCAGTGCTGTCCATCATATTCAAAACTGATAATTTTGGGAAGGACAACAGTCCACAACAAAACAGAGCCATTGCTGACAGACAATGCAACCAGGCTCACTTCACTCTCAGTGGCTGCACTGTGTAAGCAAAGGAGGGTTCTCTTTCCCACGCAGACAAGGAGAGCTGCGTGAGCTATGGGTGGCACAGGTGAGCCACACATTGTCAGACAAGGCAGGTTAGAAACCCACAGCTCCCCCTGCCACAGAGTTTCCATGACAGGGGCTGCAGGAACCATGCGCCTAACTATCCAGAGCAGAGCCTAACTTCCTCCAACAGTCACAAGAACTCTTACCAGAACATCGTTGCCTCGCACCAAAAACTGAATATTGAATGGACCAGAGATGGCAAAGGCATTTGCAATCTTTTTTGTAGCAGCTTTTACCTACCAAAAAAAAAAAAAGTAAAAATGTATATATATTTTATAAATAAATAAGTCAGTCCCACAGAATAGACAGCATCATGGCAATAAATCACCTCACATGTGGATTCCTTTAAGTGTCACATCTCTCTGCCCTAAAATATTTTTTTCTCTATGCCCTCATTTTGGCAATAGCATTATCTTTCAGAAGCAAACATGTTTAATTTGCCTGGTAATCTAGAGCCCGAAGTGCCATTTGAGGGCAGAAGTAAAAACACAGCTTCGTGTGTGTGTGAGAAAGCAAGGGAAAGAGGGAGAAAGAGAGAGAATAAAAGCCTGCCCTGTCTGTAGCAATTCCTACACTGCACGCTGGAGCCTTTATACCTTTCTTGGTGAAATAATGAATAATGATGTTTTGCCATTTGAGATTATCTACTCGGTTTTAAAAGTGTACCAAGAGTCTTTCACCAACATGCCTGTCCCATCACAAATCAGTGGGAGGTGTGTCAGAAGAAATACTCTGAAACAAATTGGGAGAAAACACTATGGTTTTATTTTCTAGGTTTGTCAAGAAATCACATGCCATTTCAGTACAAGTGTTTTAATAGCTTTGCTCCAGGAGATAACTATATTCACAAACAAGGCCTTGGGCATTCCTGTAGAGTTGGAGCACAGACCATTGCATTACAGCTCTTGTTAGCTTCCAAGCAAATCCTTTCCAGGATGATATCACAGGGCATGGCACACTTCATTTAGAAAATGCATTTTGACAACTAACTCTGTATCACTAGGTTTATTCTCGAAAGGGGAAAAAGTCAAGTTTAGGTGAGATTCATTCATCCTGATATCCTTTCCAGAAAAGGCAGGCAGCTAGAAAGTCACACACCTGATCTAATCATTTAAGGATTATTGGAGAAGAGGAAGTGGAAAGTGAACTGTGGCATAGGTATGGATTAGACACTCCTCTACTGCTATGGTTGCTGGTCCTAAACCAATGAAACAAAAAAATGCAATGGGTCTGAAAGTGTGTATATCTACTGCTTAAATTAATGGGATACAGTTCAGATGATCCTATGTGTAGTATAGCCAATCATAGGGGGCACAAAAACATCCTACATTTGCACACATCACACTGGCCTTAAAAAAACAATGGTGATTTGATTTCTCCATTGGTGATTGAGCTCTCCCAAGCAAAGGGGGAAAGCAGATTCAAATTCTTATTTTCTTTTCTCTTTTCAGTGCTAGTGCAACACCTACCTTCTCCAAGGCTCCCTGGCTAATAGTCTGTGTGGGTAACATGAGGGTGGCATCTCCAGAGTGAACGCCTGCATCCTCCACATGCTCTGAAATAGCATGTGAGATAACCTGCATACAGTAACAAGAGAGCTGTTAGTCACCTCACCCCCTCTCATGAACCGTCCGCCCACCTCCATGCCCTCTGCTAAGTACAGCCCAGCACAGTCTCCTGAACAGAGATGTATCCAAAAGAGGATACAGACAGGGGGGAAAAAAGGGAATCACCCAAGATGTTGGGGAGAATAGGCCTGAAGCAGACACAAGGCATATGAACAAGGGGATCATGTTAGTGTCTTTCATATCATGGTTAAGCAAACTGCAAACATGATAAAACCTACCACAGTCTGGAGATCCTAAGGCTTCCTTCTTCTCTCTAACACACATTGACTCAGAAGGTAAAAGCTAATTAGGCTTCAAACCAGCTCTCTAAGTTCTGCTTGTCACAAACACAAAAAAGTTGTCATTCCCCAATAGAAACAAGTATGGACTAACATAATTTGTATATTTTTTTTTCCTCCACTCTTTTGTGGTGTTTTAATCATGCAGAAAAGCAAGCAGAGGAAATTCAGGCCTAAGGATTTAAATTGAATTAATTGCATCAAGGCGCACTACCTCGATACTGAAAAAGTGATCGTCTGCTGGTTAAAAATGAAGATTGAAAACAGAATACTTCTGTTAAATGAGAAGTTTGTGATTTTTTTCTGAGAACTGTCTTTGATTAGTAATGAAACGCAAAGTGAAGTTGTAATAATAAAACAACTGTGGTAATATTATAACACATGCTGATACAATTCTGATGAAAGTAATTTGTGAAGCCAGTGATTTGCGAATCCAGTAAAAATTATATTCTAAAGGATTCATTCACATGGTTAAGCAATGCTTAAAAAAATAACTATTTAGCTGTATACAATAAGGTATGTTGAGCTTTTCAAGCACGATGGTTTTGAACCTAAGATGAATTCATCTTTTCCTGTTTCTTTACTCTTCTCAGCACGAATCCATGGCTGTATAGTAAATCATTCAAACCACACATTCTTGCAGATCTCCGATCCTGAAAAAAAGTTTAGTATTAAAGAAAAGCAAAGTTCTTACTCTTCCTGCGTTGGCTACAGCATCCATTTCCACCTCACGGGCATCTTCAATAAATTTAGTGAGTACCACAGGGTGATCCTGTCATCAAGACAAGACAAAAGAAGAAAGTTTTTATTTGACAGTATTTGGGGATCATCCAAGCGCTCCACTATTCACCACTGGAAAAGCTCTGGAAGCAGAATCCCACAAGACCAATCTATTAATATCCTTATTTCCACAGATAAGTGAACTTTGCAAAGGAATAATGGGGGGAAACTTGGCATGATTTCTCCAAAGCCACTGATGCATTAGTTTGATTCCTCCATAATGTCACCATTACAGGGAAATTTGGGGCAAAACCACAAAGAGCTTTTTGGTGAGACCATGGTAGAAAGAAGATAGTGGGACACATGCATGGATCCAGTGACCTCTGATCCTGTCTCCCAAAGACATTCCTTACCTCCAAGATCTTCAATTCTTCCTTCCTCTAAGCCTCCCAGCCGCCTCACTGGGCATACTGCTTCACAGAGTAATTGATTCTTGGCATACTTAATGACTTGGCATAGTGGCTGTTTGCTATTTTAAAGAGTCATCTATTTTAGGCAACTGGTCATTCCTTTCTCATTTCTGTGCTTGGTTTCCTAAGTCTCCCAGGGAGAAGTTGCCACTAATTATAGCTGGCCAGGAACAGTTTGTCCTTGACTCTCAATACATTCCCTGGTATACATGGTTTTCCTTCCTCTTCTTCCTGCCTATCTCTGAGATGCTAGCACACACTTCCCACTCTTCTCTAATGCTTTCTCCTTCCAGCCACCTGCTCCAACAGACGGTTAAAAATCTAATCCACATTCTTCCAGGCCAGCTTTATATCTCAACATTTTACCTGTCCCATCCACCATTAACTGCCTGTTATTTATTAGAGAATAAAATGGAATAAATGACAGTCTGTGCATGCTCAAAAGGCTCCCCTTGAAAAAATATAAAGCAACTCCAAAAGTTACAAGACACAATTCCTTACATTTATCAGTGCAAGGGTAAATTCACAGGCAAAGGACAATGCTGCAGCCTACACTGTTTCATAAATTTAGCAACTTGTGTCCTGTAACTTTCTGCCTTGCTGCAGTTTTTCACCAGAAGATTTTATATGTGCACACAACCTTGTTTACTCCAATCAGTCTCAACTCGCACAAGAAGTTTTGAACATTTTTGACAACATAAATGCCATAATGACGCAAAACCATAACAGCAAAGTAGCTAAAACAACAGAACAACACTGGTCAGGCACTTTATCTGGAGATGCTCTGTTGGATGGAGCAGAACTAGGTAAGGCTTTGTAACCAGAAAAATGAAGCCTGTGTCCCACAAAGATGCTCATGTTCAGTTGTATACTCACAACTAATATTGCTAGCTTCTGTGGAACCACTCACAAGCCACAAAGCCTTGACGAGACTAAAAACGCCTCCCTAATTTAGAAGCAGAATACAGTACTTTTGTTCTGGTTTGCTTTTAGCTAGCTTAGCTTCAACTACACTATGGCTTTTGTCAGTATAAAATACTGGATGAAGAAAGTTTTCCCTTGGCAGTCTGACTACACTAGCAAAAATTTAGCAAGTAAATCTAGCGTAAGTCTCTGCAGGATCAGGGCCAGAGTACCCAAAGACTCATGGTGTGCAACTGGTCATGTTTGCAGGAAGCGTCAGTGCCTTATTTGTGTAGCAGAACTGGACATCATAAGGATCCCATGGGAACATCCACTCTTCCCCCTAGGAATACATCACATATTGCCAAGATTCTACAACTTCAGCTCCCAGCAGGGCCTCCTGTACCAGGGATGAGACCTCTCAGAAATGAAGAACAACATTGCCCAATTCAAGTCAATCAAGCTGTGACAAGTTAAGCTGACCAAGGGTCACTTCCCTGGGCTTCAGCCTCCTATAGGGTATCCGTTGCCATCATAAAGACATCCAGTGGCATGAGAAAGTGAACGTGGCTTAGGGCTGCTGCCTGGTCTGCTTCTGTGAGTGTGTGGGGAAAAACAAAGCAGGGTACTTAAGATGAAGTACAGAGAGAAGCTAGGTGTTTTGGGAGGCTGAGCACTGCTAAGAATCTGGTTTCTACCACAGGTTGACCCTGTAGTCTTTTGAGAATTAGTTATATAATTCCTTCTGATGGAAGTAACAGTGGTACTCTCCCGCTTTCAAAAATCCCTTTAAAGTTGTTCAAAGATGATAATAAGTGTCTGCTTCCCTCCACACTAAACTGTCCTTCAGGATATTATTACTTTGCAAGGTATCTCCCTTTCATTCCATCTTTTCTTGCTGAAACACTAAACTTCCATTATTTGCCCCATACACTTAAAAACCACATGGTTTTGTTCTTGTTCAAGCTTTAACCACCTAAGAATTCCTCTGAGTAAGCGGTAATGTGTCTGGCTTCCACAGACAGTTGTGTTTTCAGGGAGTTTCTTTTTGACTTATTTATTTTTAACTCCAAGATCCCTGCGACAGTAGTGTTTATGGTGCTACAGTATTGTTCTGAACAGTGATCATTCAAAAAAAGGGGAAAACACCCTCAGAAGAAAACAGACCAAAAGGCGAGACCAAACTCAGACTGTTGAAAGGTCAGACTTCGAATTCTGTATGTTCTTCATTCAACCTTGATCATTTAACTTTCTCCTCCTCCTATATCCTCATCTCTCCGAACATCCCTTGTAGAATAACACTGATAGAAGGTATAGAAGAAATTCAGGCTTTGAGTTGTTTACTATGTTCTGAAGCATTCATGTCTTCGGGAAACTGCTCATATTTTTCTTTTCTAAATTTTAACATAGTAGACCAAATCCTTCCCTTTGCTAGAAAAAAGACACTGTAAAAAATCCCCAAATTAGCTTTTGAAAAACATTTAAAATGGAAACCAGAGTTTTCATCTTCTGCATTACATACTCTGCAGATCAATAATCCCACTGGATTAAGAGTAAGCAGGCAACAGTCCTGCTTTTGTATCAGAGGAAAATGGAACTCAGTACATGATTTGGAGAGTTAAATATCATAGCAAAATCTTGCAAATGTTCCTGCATTTAAAAGGAGGAGGAGGGGGGAAGTCATTGGTCAGAGAGAAGATGCCAGGATGAAGGTTTAAGTTGTTCAAAAAAGCCAGGTAAAATAGAAATTGAGTGAAAGATGCTATCAGTTCTATGCTGGTTGACGTAACTGGCTACTAGCAAGCTTGGAAGGGGTAGGAAGGGTCCCAGCCCACTAGCCTACACCTATTTGTATAATTAACTGGTCAGAAACAGATGCCTGGGTACAACAGCTAACTGCCATCCCCGCATCCCAGTGGTATCAGTAAGGATGCCTGCACAGGCTCCCATGGTCTGCCTGTTACGGAGCAAACTGAGGAGTCAAACTCTAATTTCACTGGCTCCTCCCCAAACAAGGAAGGGAAAGAGTGAGAAAGACACAATACAGAAACAAAGAGATGGAAAACACAGTAGAGGTGAAACAAATACAGCAATCACAAAAACAAACACAAAAAGAAAAAGCAGTAGAAGCGCAAAGACTGGTACCTGAGAGACTCTGGTGGCTTCTGCTAAGAACTTCTTCATTTCCTCTTCAGTGAATACTACATTCATTGCAGACCCACTGTGAGAACAGCAAGGAAAAGAAAACAGGTCAGCTTCCCTCATGACTTCAAGGGAGATATCAGTGTTAGACACCACAGCACAGGGTTGCCAACTACCTTTATATGACAGACTAGCCAAACAAGCTCCTGACTCAAGCCACTTGCTCCACTCTTGACTGAAAGAAAGGCAGAGCTGGTACCTAAGGAACTTCCATTATACTTTCCAGAGAAGATAGGTGACCTTCAGAACCATAATGAAGAATCAAAGAACCACGGTCATGTAGCCTTAGCACTGCTGCCAGATTCGCTTTCTGACCCAAGCCTTTAAACCTCCCCCTAAGCTGGAAGAGATGGCTCGTCAGCCAGATAGCCCTGCTAAGGACCCAGACTTTCACTGTATGTGCAGGTTAGCTGTGAGCTCGGGACAAAACAGATGCTTTGCTCGCTTTAGCCCAATTGCTCACCAGTGACAGATGAAGCGAGGAATGCACAGGCCACCGGTGATGGTTTGGACAGTGTAAGTGCAGATGAAAATGGGCTGTTCTTTGCTGGCCATTTCACTACGCCCCTCCCCTAATGACAGTCCTTAAGGGAGGGGCACAGCAGATACAGACACTGTATCTGAAAGCTACTTTGAAATGTAGCTGTCAGTAATACCAGAGAGGGGGATTTGGGAGAACATAGGGTTGAGAGTCAGTGATTCAGGTCCCTTTTAAAGACAGTAATCTTTTAAAAAAGATGTTACATTGGTCACTTCTACCATTGATGTTCAGCTTCCCCCTTGCTTTTGTGGGCAAGGCCACAGAGACTGTGGAGAAAAGTGGAAGAAGGATCTACCCCACAAAATCTGTCACTTCAGCCTAAGATAAATAGACACAAGTACCTAGGTGATTATACTTACTGGACTACCTCTTCAGCTGATGTAAATCAATAGAGTTCAGTTAAATTCATTGACCTATGACAGTTGCACCACTGAGGATGTGAGCTGATGCATACAGTACATAACTGGTGGGGAAATGCATTTAGTTTTCCAGGGCAACTGGCAAATATTAAAGGCTGTATCTGTTCAAAGGATGAAGAAGTCTAGCTGTGGACTTGCTGCTGTTCTGCAAATAGAGGCCAGACAGTGTGCTGTGCTAGCGCTTTTCACTTTCTATTTCAAGTTTTACATCCTCCAGTGTCATCTTTCTCCCTGAAGTCCCCCTAACCTGCACAAACACCCTTTAGCAAATACTTACATGGAAAGGGCCTATACTGAATTTAATACGGATGGAAACAATAGGCTAAAAGAAGTGTTCCCTAAAAATCTGGAGCATTACATCAGGAGCAGTTTCTAACTTATACTCCTGATCTGAGTGCTGGTTTTTAAACTTTGCTTCACAACCCCACTGCAAGCTTCAGAAACTGGATAGAAAAGTCACATTCAGCAGTCTTTTCTAAAGGGTATTTCCTTGAGGGTTTAACATATAAGAAATCCTTCTCCTTTTCTTCTTTTTAAATAAGAAGGGTTTTTTTTTCTCCCCTGAAAATGAATGTTGTGCCTCTTCATTTTGATATGTCTCTTTTTCACATGAAAAGGATCCTGTCTCCAATTTATTTTCACTTGTAAACTATGCCCAGAAAACTGCCTCTCTGTGCCTAGTCATCCAGCTATGAGGAAACTCCTCGCAGAGAAGAGTGATCATTCAGAACGTGAATTTGCTGTGTGTATGTGCTGGTGTAACTTCTTCAAAAAGTCTAGCTGTTGGAAATGTGTGGCTCTATACAATGTCTATTTAAAGAGAAGCAGCTGCCGCAGTGTAGGGACATAAAACATGCCTGTAAGCAGAGAAGCCTGGCAAATAAGAAGCTGAATTCAAAAGATGCACTGTCATTTTCTGAAAACAGATGCCAACCCCAATAAATGGCCTCAGCATGTTCCCTCCTGTTTTTGCCAGTGGCAAACAATCTTCTGGCTTAATTGCACAGGTAGTAGTCTCGGGAACCTTAAAGAATATCCCAGATAGTTCGTGGTTTTGGCCTTGAGATATGTAAAAGGTAATGCAGCTAAACAGACATTCTTATGATTTTGTTCTACCTTTGATCTGTGCCTGATGGACATAAGGGATCCATTGGCTTCCTTTATTGGTTTGAGCATCTGTCCCACCTGTTAAGATGGGCAGCTTTATGCCACATGCACCTAGCATAGCATTTTCCACGTCCACTGAAATTATTCTCCCTTGTCTCAAAGAGGCTTTTGTAGCTCATACCCCCAACTGGATGAGCTCTGATGGTTGAGCCTTACCTCAGAACATAGGAAGGCCTCAGCAAACATGGGTAACTCACAGAGCTTGCAAATTCAACTGCATCTCTCTAAAGAAAGGGAGGAAAAACATGCTGTGAACAAGAAAATATTTTAAAGTCATACCAAAATTTCAACTCTAACTGCATTTGCACTTTACTAGCCATTAAGACTGAGAGGGAGGGGGGGAAGTTGAGGACTATAGCCTAGGCTGAATGTAATACATGACTTGTGGTTCCAGAGTTGTCATCTTCAGACCTTCCCTGTCCATAGAGCTTCACCAGGAAAAAAGAGCAGTGCTGACACATCTCTATCCCTTTGCAATCTCCACCTGCTAGAATAGTTTTCAAGGCCAACAGGATAAACTAGAGTAGCCTGACAGTGGTGCTAACTTCTGCTGGGTATATACCCCATGTTGTGTAAAGGTGATTTAAAGACACTTCCCTTCCAGTTTCCATCCCACTCCCAGTGATGCTATAGCATCACTTTACAGGGATCAAAAATTCTTCAACACTGGCAGTAAAAAACTGTCAAATGTCTTTGGAATCTTGAAATCTATCAGTAAGTCAGTCGCCCCTAAGCAGATGTCCATAACAACCCCCAGCTGCTTCATCGTTTCCCAGATGCACATCCCAGCTTACCAGCGTGCTGACTGCCTTCCAGGGAGCCTGGGCCACATGCAGCTCATCCAGAACAGCTGAGAATATGGAGCGATCTTCTGCCCGGTCAATCTGCAAAGGATTTGTGCCAAGGATCTTCACTCCACTCTGGTGTAGTGGCACTGCCAAGTTATTGGGAATCTGCCCACCTACAGAAATAATGCAACCACTGCACCCCTGTTGGCAGAGACAAAGGAGCACAGTCATGTCCAAGTTAGCTTAACATTAACAGCTGTTATAATGAGGAATCCAATATTTAGGTTACAGGTTGCTATGAGCAAAGGCAGATCATAATTGTGCTGATCCAGAGGCACCCAGGCTGCAAAGTGTGATTCAGAGTGTGTAGCCTCTCTAAAACAGCAATATCCTCCTTGATACCACTCAGACAGCAGTAACTTGAGGTCAAATTCCCCAGGAAACCAAAGAAATGTGCAGTGTTCATATGCCTTTTGACATCAAGCCAAGATTTTAACTTCTGCTAGAACCACAGACTGTTACCTTGTTTTCATGTCATGTTTAGGTGCTTCTACTTTCCCAGTGAGGATAGGCACTGAGCTGACACATGCTCCCTTGCTTTGCAGAGGAAGGGCGCTGCGCTATGAAACCCTCATGCCCTACAATGAAACTCAAAACTCCGCTCGGTGGGGTCAGGCCTCCCTCCTGTGTTCTCCTACACATGTGAACATGGGGACCACCACTTCAACCAACCACTCCCCTTTCTTTCTCAGTCCAGCTCTTCCGAGAAAACAGCCTCTCCCACGCTCACCGTCAGAGGCTTCCAGAGGAACAGACATTCACGCAAACTCTTTTTTACTACAGATTTGCAAGGCAGTAACCACCAGCAGAGCGATAATGGGAAACAACTGGAATTTTTTGTTGTTGTTATTATTTGCTAAGCAAACATCCTTTCCTAGCCTCAGATGCCAGCCTTTAAGGAGTGCTCACTGCTGACCCCTTGCTGGCATGTACAAAGCAAAGCAGAGTCTAGTTCAACAGAGCCCAATCCATCAGACAGCCTGTGGTGGTGAATTACTCTGGGTACACTTAGCCCTTTATCTTAATTCATCCTCACTGTTCCTGACTAGCTCCTCATTTCTGGTAGCACATTTGATAGTAACAAGTATTTCAGCCAAACTGTCATGTATGCTCATTTCTAAGCAGGTTATTTGCAAGTGCTTCAATTCCAGAAGTGGATGAGGCAGGACAGGTGGCACAGCATCCTCCAGCCACAATGGCACATTTCATGTTCATCACTGGGCGACCACAACATTTTTAGTGAGGAAATAATAAATGACAAATAACAAGATACAGGTGAGCTCACTTGCAAACACACAACCTTCTTCAGGTACAAATATGGGCATTTTTTTTTTACATAGAACCCCTAATGCTTTCAAGTACAATCTAGTCTGGTGTGAAAATTTTCAATAGTAAAAAAAAGGCCTTAGAGTACCTGCAACAATCACAAGGATATGAATTATGTTTAGATTGTGTATTAATTGAGGGTAATTAAATAATGGGCACTTTACTTCCAAATTAAAGCTGGTGAAACTTTGCCCAAAGGAGAATCAGGCCCACAGTACAGCTGTAGTGAAGGGCTCTTTCGAACCAAATGTGTTTTACACACGTTTTACCCACCTCTAACAAACAAGAAACATAAATCAAGCGATCCATGGTTTGACTCTATCTTTTAGATTATCAATGTTCTTTTAATTAACAAATGTGTTTTTCCTGAAGAAGGTTAGCCCCACTGGCCTTCCTGGAAGAGGAACTTCTTAATGAGGGATTTAAAGGGATTTAGAGTGGCAGATCTGTAAGCTGAGAGCAGGATGGACTAGAAGTGACTGAGAAAAAACAGATGATAAATGCCAGTACAAGCCCTGCTCAACTTTAATGTTGTTAATTTCCTACCATAATAAAAAGCGACTAAAAATGTCTGGCATTTAAGCAGCACTTACTATCCCAAGGTCTACAAGATTATTATTTGCTGCTAATATACAGTGCTGGAAATAATTTTTTTTCCTTTTCACCATGCAGTCACTAATGCGATGACATGCTGCTGCTGGCCAACAGCAACTATCACAAAGAGCTTAGGACAGGGAGTGAAAAATGCCTTGTTAGTAGAGGGTGGAGCAAGGACAGAGACTGTTTTGTGCCCACATGGGGTTGTCTCATGACATCGGAGCTTGCCATCTCCAACTCAGAAGAAAAATCTGTTCCTTACTGCCTCCAGACCCATCCAAAATACAGTACTTATCTCTAGTCCCTGGACCCCTTATCATCCCACATGGACAAGAACCAGACAGTGAATAAAGCAAACCCCTTCTTGCAGCTTGGAATGGTTCCTGTTTGATAACAAGTCAACCAAGCTTGGCTGCCAACATCAACCAACATCTTAATCTATCCTCAACATATTTGAAATGCGAATGTCCTGGCTAACAGCTTCTCTTCAGCTGCTGCTTATTTCTTTCTTTAAAACAATTCTAGTCACTGAGCCTCTAAAATCCAAATACTGCCTACATCAAAGTTGGGATGGCGTTAGGGACTCCAGCCCCAAGGAGACAGAGGAGATGGCTTATTCAAGCAGATATCAAAGAATCCTATACTCATTTTTACTCAAAAAGAACCACAAATTGAGACCCAGCTGCTTACTTCTTCCTTTATAATTCTTCTGTTATTTCCCAAATCATGCTCTTTCCCGAAGAGCAGTCCACCACCCCACTAGGGAACAGGACTGCTCCACTGAGAAATGTGGGCAGACAGAAGTGGACTCCACTGCATATCCCTTTGTCATCAGCCATATTTTAATTATAAAGAAAATTAATAACATCCTTGCCATTAGATATCTTTAAAATATACGCTATACATAATCTAGTGAAAGAAGCCTAGAGGGAATTATTTTCCTTTTATAACAAAAATCACTCTTTTTATTACTACCTTGCTTTTATGTCATTAGTAATAAAGTTGGGTTTTCTTTTTCCCTGAGTTTGAAAACAAATTAGACCATTAAAATTGTACCTAAGAGCCTCCTTTAGTTTTATGAATTGTTTCAGAATGATCCTAGAAACTGAAAAAAGAATCAGAAGAGGCCCTCAAGCAGATAGATATTAAAATATAAAGGGAACATCTTCTCTGGAAACAAAAAGCCAATAAATCTGAGGGAAGGAATTTTTTTTTTTTTTTTTTAAATTATTGTCCTAATAGTACCACCTAA